TAAGATTCAATCTTAAGGCAAAAAATTAATGGACTAATAAAAACTTCACAAAATTGTTTGAGTTGTTGAGTGACATGCTTCGTGAAGATAACATGTTGTCAACACTTAATTATGATGCAAAGAATATATTATCGATACACTCTCAATCATTGTCATAGGTCTTTAGATGTAAGCTTGATTTTGTAAAGGCCTCCTTCAGAAGAACCTTCAATATATTGTCCCAAAAGTAAGTCAAATTTTAATTTAGGATACTTATAATTGAATTAAAATATATCTTAACTATATTTTACATCCACTAAATTGTAGTGCTCACATTAACAGATGAGTGCAACTATTACATTATGAAACACATGCTCACAATTTACTGGCTAGGGACTCATGGAAGGAGGTAATACATATATAAATCAATTTAATTACTTTAAATGATTATTTAATTATTTAATGATTGACTAATATTTAACTTATTTCTATTTTAAAATTTTAGGTATTCAAAAATCCAACTCCATTTGTCAATGAAGAGTTGGAAGATATCTATAAATGATGGGCAATGACTTGTCTAAGGTCACTTTGATGGCTAGATTTTTTATACATTGGTATTGATATTTATTGTTATAAAATGTTTTACTTTAGCTTGATTGTTGATTGTTACATTGGTAGATTATTATAATAATTGTTGATTGTTATTAATTAATGACAATATTTACTTTGACTTCATTGTCAACTCTTTTTGATTACTAGCTAATTTACTTTTTATGTTGTTTAATTTTAAATTTGAGAAATATTGTATATTATATAAGACTCTACTAAACTTGGCAAACATATACTATATTAAATTATATGGAATATTTATTTTTTATGTACATGTTTGGAAATTTTTTAAAAACTAACTGTTACTTGAAGAGCTCAATTTCGATAATATTCAAGAGACAAATCGAGAATGCATTAGTATCGAGAAGTTGCCACAACCATGACCTATCAAGTAGAGGAAAAACTCTCGAAATCTGCTTAGGCAAGGAAGCAGTTGATTCCTGAAGGTTACAGATCGAAAGGTTCTTGAAGGTTAATTCGACAAATCGAGAAAAGGGAGTTGCCACTAGTGATGGCTCAAACAGTTAGGAGCAGTTCAAGGGAGTTATTTGCAAATGTGTGAACATTAGGGTAGTTATACACCGAGGGAGTTAACAAGAATTAACTGTCGCTCGAGGAAAGCATTCAAAGATCAAGGCATGCAGTAGGTGGTTATCAGAAGTTAAAAACGATTACAAGAGGTTACTCAAATTGTGTAATGGAGAGCGGTTATACATACCACGTCGAGTCCATATGGAATTAACCGCCCCAAATTAGTCTCTAAATAGGAGAGGCAATCTTATTTCAAAAGGTCGAAAAATCATGCTTGAGAACTCTCACAAACACTCACTACCCACACGCATGGCTCATGTGTACGAGACAACTGAGTATGATTTCTTGGCCACTCTTTTCTTTTCTTAGTTTCTTAGAACAATTTTATTGTATTTTAATATAGTGTAGTTTCATAGTTCGTTTGCTTCTCAGAATTTCTTCTTAGGATCATTATGTTTGTAATCTAACAATTATTGGAAGTAAATTCGTCATGATTTCTATTATCAATATATATGTTGTCCATTCAATTTATCTAAATGTTTGCATGCATGGAACCTATTTTGTAATAACTGTTGACGAATATTTAGAAATATGTGCATGCTAACTATATGGAATGAGATCTCAACCAATTTCATAGATTTGTTTCATTGTGATTACTCATCTTTTATACATTTAAGGTTAACATAAAATTCTAGTTGTCATGTACCTAAATTGAAAACTTTGCTAGTTCGAACAAAAAGGACTCACGAATTTTACTGTAAACACTAACATGATGCTTTAAAAAAAACTCCACTTTTTATGACAATATAGTTGTACCCATTAAAGAAAATACACATTTTATGACAGGTAATGTTACATTTAACATAAAAAGTGCACTTTCTATAACAAGTGAGATCACACTTGTCATAGAATCACTACTAGAAAATCACTATTCTACATCGCCAATTTTACATCGGTTTAGATAGAACCGATGTAAAAATTGGATGCGGTGGCATATTCGTAAATATGAGTTAAATGCAAAGCAAATCTACATCGGTTATGTACAAAACCGATGTAATTATTGAACATTTTACATCATTTTTATTCAGACCGATGTAAACTTAAATTCGCGGTGACAAACTTGTAAATATTTACAAGTAGATCTACATCGGTTTTCAAAATAACGCAAACTTGTAAATATTTTCAAGTAGATCTACATCGGTTTTCAAAATAACCGATGTAGTGCCTCAAAAATTAAAATGAAGCCCGTGAAAGCAAACCCTAGCACCCCTTTTCTTTTCAACCTTTTCTCTTATCTGGCGAGCGCCTCCAACATGAAGGTGGGCGTCCACGCGAGCGTGGAGAGGCTCCTCCTGGGCGGCGGCGCCGTGATCGGAGTCCTCTTTAGGGACATGAGAGGGATGTACCACGAGGTGTTGGAGCGTCCCGGAAGCCCTCATAACCGCCGAGCTAACCACCGCCTTTCCCGGCAACGGCGGTTTCGTCATTTGGGCCTCACGGGGCTTTCCCGCCGACTCGCAATTCTCTGCTCAACGCTCGCTCTCTCCTTTCTCAACTACACCGATCTCACCATCGTCGGCTACGTCGCCGTCGTTCTCGCTGTGGTTTCTATTAATTCCAAATTTTTCCCCTCTTTTTACACTTATTGAGTTGTGCTTTGTGGATTTTGTGAAAATTCCAAGTGGCATCCCTGTTCTATATGCTTACAGGTTTATCCCCCATCGGATCAGATTTTGTCAACTATTTGTTTTGTTTCGTTACGTTTCTAGATTTTCCTTTTTTTTCTGTGTGCATTTCCTATTTCATGTTTTGTGCCAGTTTTGACACGTTTCCTTGGATTTGATTCATTTTCTTTTATAGATTTGTGAAACGATTTTGTTATTTTTTTTTAATACATTTCGAGCGCCTAACTCCATCAACATTTCGAGTCCGGTTATTAATGCTTGAGACTCAGTTTCATTGTTCGAGTACCTTTTGTTCGTTTCAAATGACACTTTAGTCGGCAATCCTTCGGGAGATATGATTAAAAGACCTATTCCAGCACCTGACTCGTGTTTCGATCCATCAAAATATAATTGCCAAGGCTTTGTGGTTAAGTATCCAATATCTTTCATTTCTTTCGAGTGATCAGCGAGAAAATCAGCGAGTATTTGACCTTTAATTGCTTTTAATGGCTCGAAAGTGAGCGAAAATTCAGTTAACGCAAGTGCCCATTTACCAACTCGAGAATGTAAAACAGGTTTACACAACATATACTTAATCACATTACTTCGACTTACAACATCACGAGTCTTAATATAGTACTTCAACTTTGTACAAGCAACATATAAACTTAAACATAATTTCTCTAAAGGGGAGTATCTACTTTCTGCACCTACTAACATTCGACTTAAATAATAAATGACTCTCTCGATGCCATTATTATCATCTTGCGCCAGCATGCCCGCAATAGTCGAATCACTAGCTGAGATATATAACTTAAGTATTACAAGGTTTGGGATTCCCCAAACAATTACTACTGATCAAGGCACAGTTTTCACAGGTCGAAAAGTTGCTCAATACATGGAATCAAGAGGGATTAAATTAATAACTTCAACACTGTATTATGCACAAGCAAATGGTCAAGTCGAGACGGCCAACAAAGTGGTGATAGGGTTAATCAAAAAACATATATCAAATAGACCTCGAAGTTGGCACGAAACTCTTGTTCAAATACTATGGGCTTATAGAAACTCTCCGAGAGATGCTACGAAAACTACTCCATATAAGTTAGTGTATGGGCATGAGGTTATTCTTCCTATAGATATTAACTTACAATCAATTCACATACAGAAACAAAATGAATTACCCATTGAAGATTATTGGAATTTAATGTATGATGAATTGACCTCTTTAGGGGAAGAAAGACTAATAGCATTGCAGCATCTCATTCAGCAAAAAGAAAAAATTGAAAGATCATATAATAAGAGAGTTAAAGCACAGCAATTTCGAGTTAGGGACTTAGTGTTAAAGGTAATACTGCCCATGGATCAAAAATCTCGATACCTTAGTAAATGGTCTTACAATTGGGAAGGTCCTTTCGTAATCGAGCAAGTATACTCAAACAACGCATACATGGTTAAATAATTAAATTCGAGTACAGGCAAGGTGATAAATGGCAAATACTTAAAATGCTTTCATAAAAGAGGAGAATAATAATTGTTCAGGGATAAATAGAAAAAGAGAAACGGGAAAAAGAAAATCTAATTATTACAAAATTTAGACTTAAATTCTTTGAAAGCTCTATAAGCATCATCTAAGCTTTTTCTTCGAGAGCGACATTGGGCTTCTAGGTGTTTTTTCTGCTCCAAGGCCTTAGCAAGTTTCGAAGAAATCAATTTGCCTTCCTCCTTAAGGCCTGTCTGACGCTGTTTGATTTCTTGACTCTGAACCTTGACAGCATCTTTCTTGGAGCGAGTCTTGTCCAATTCATGTTGCATAGCCTTAATGGTGTTCTCGATATCTGCCTCTTCTTTTTGTAAGTGTTGCAAAGAAGAAATCATCTCTGCCGTTGAATCCTTGAGAGAAATCAAGTCATCACGGAGTTTTTCGAGCTTAGCCCTATCTTCCTCGTTTTCAAATTCGACCTGAGCCACTTCTTGATAAACGTATTTCGAGTCCGGTTATTAATGCTTGAGACTCAGTTTCATTGTTCGAGTACCTTTTGTTCGTTTCAAATGACACTTTAGTCGGCAATCCTTCGGGAGATATGATTAAAAGACCTATTCCAGCACCTGACTCGTGTTTCGATCCATCAAAATATAATTGCCAAGGCTTTGTGGTTAAGTATCCAATATCTTTCATTTCTTTCGAGTGATCAGCGAGAAAATCAGTGTAATCTACATCGGTTCTGTTGAGAACCGATGTAAAAACCCATACATTTTCTACGTTGCTTTATTCTACATCGGTTCTAAAACCGATGTAGATGACTTTAGAGAACCGATGTAAAATATGCATCTTGTAGTAGTGAATATAAATGTTAATGTGACTACAATATCATATATTTAGTACTTATATTATGATAGATGTTGACCACCCTCCACAAAAAATAAATTTTCTATATTAAGTGTTGATTCGTTTATTCTATATTGTAAAAATTTATGAACGATTCAAAATCCATATAAAATATCTAAATACTAGACATATAAAATGGTTGAAATACTCGATATAGAAAATATCTGCCAAAACGGATCATGCATTTATCTTATAAATTGCCCTGTGTTTGTACCTCTATTTCGATTGAGTTATACTATTTTCACGCTACTTTTTGAATACTATTTCTATCATTTATTTGTACTTTTAGTCCCCTAATATAGTTAATAATATCTTTATTTTTAATTTCATATTTTAGTATTTCTATCAATAAAATTGTATAATTTAAATTCTTTGATGAATTTGTCATCTAGAATTTATTATAGAGATAGCTAGAGAGATGTTGATGTGATAGTCAAATGCTAACATCACGTGTAGTTACATGTGGAGCTCGTGTCCTTAAGGTGTTGACAAGAGTAGTAATGGTGTTGATGTTTATCCATTATTTCAGCACTTGACCGCTACGTCGATATTTCTATTAAATTTGGACGAGAAGTTCATGAATAAATATTCAAAGCTGCATAATTTAAAAGGTAAAATAAAAGTTTCTTAATTAATGAACTGAGGTTCAAAGTTTAGGTAAATTAGATCATGAGAATTCATCATAATCAATACTTGTCTCAAAGTTTTATGATTGCTTACAGAAACTCTTACATATTACTATAAACAAAATCTTCACATCAACAATTAAAATTGAACTCATATTCTTTTTGAGATATAAATACGTGCTTTACTAACTCGACCAATAATTTGTGTTGGTAGATAAAAAATTGATTATTGAATATGCTATGAGAGTAGAAGTACAATTACAGGTGTATGTATTGGCATAATAAAAGAATAACGAGTTTAATAATATTGACTAACTTTATTTTGTGTTTGATTGATTTTGGTGGTTGATAATTTAGTGCTTCAATTGAATGCTACAAGAAACGGACCATCTAGTTTGGGCACCACCCTACATGCTTGCTCTTGTGGTCCAATCCTCTCTTGGCAACACCTACACATCACTATGATCGGCGATGCACACAGGATGTGGGTCATTTCATTATTTTTCTTTTCTTATTTGTATGTTCTGATCATATCGAGGGAAACACATTAGTTTTGTTTTCATGTTTATCTTATATATACAATCTTATGATGCATGTTCTTCATATTTTGCCACACATGCACCCTTTTAATGATTTTTTTAAAAATTATCTACCAGAGGAGTGAACTACTATTTAGTTATAATAAATTTATGTTAAGAATAAAATATGTGTAAGTTGCATAAATAAAAATATATAATAATATTTAACAAGTCTTTTGATTCAGTAGCTTTAAATCCTATTTTTTGATTAAAAAAAAAAGAGTCAATTTGGTGTTCTTACAGATAATTTTTTGTCTATATTAAAATAATGTTTAGTTTGTAGAAATTATGTTTCATAAATACAAATTAATTTTTGATTGTCAATTCTGAAACATTGTCTCAGTCATGTTGTAAAGAAAAAAAATGTTTAGGACTTACTTATCTCGTTAAAATTTATTTCTTTAATAAGCTGAAAGCAAAAGTAACCGTGAGAAGAAGAAAAAGTGATCACCCAAAGTCCAAAAGCAAAGGAGTTTGTAAGCCAAAATACATGTGTGGTTCTCTTGCTTCACTTTTTGACAAAGTAGTTATCTGGAAACCTAGCAAGATAAAACAACCAGACTCAACTTTCACCGAAATGAAAGCTTTTCACATTTTCATCGACCATTGACCAACTTAGGACATCGATCGAAGGAAAAGAGAGAAATATATGCCTGAATCGAAAAACTTAAGGTGAAGAGCAAGACATAGGGTTCCCACCATTCCTAGGGTCGATATTCTGTTGTGAAGAACTGGGGCGATTTTGCATTTCAATATCATTTCAAACGGTCAAAATGTAGGGTTTAAGGTATCTCAAAGTACAACTACTGTGTTTTAATTTCTTTTATTTAGATTAATTTCAGAAGAAAAAAATTATAGGATTTCTACTTTTGGATATCTAGAAGCGAAAGCATGTTGAGTTTTAAGTTGTTATATCATTTTTTTTTCATGTAATTTACATTTTTTCACTTTTAGTCTCTCTAAATATTTTGGTTGTTATTTCATTTTTAACATTTTATAACGATACAAAAATAATTCTCAACTCTCGTTAAAAAAATTTACATAATAAAGAAAATATATATTATATTAATTATATTTTACTCTAGTGTCATATATATACATTCATTTTAAATTTTTCTTTTTAGACAAAGTTTTAAAATACACTTCAACACATCCAAATCTTCATCATCACTTCACCACACCTGAGCTCTCACCATTGCGATTACGTTTTCCCTCTTTGATCCAAATTCAACACCATAAATCATAAACTTCTTAATCCCAACTCTAATTTCCTTGACGAGGAGCCACTTCTTATAATATGTAATCTCGACAATAACATCGAGTTTGTCTTTAATGACCATTGTCTTTGTAAGGTCACCACGGGTTGTCACCTCCCTATAGAGAAGTTTGATTTCACGCTCAACTACTCTCTCACTAGTAGGAGTTAACATAACGTCCACTACTCTATTGACGTTGGTGTCGATGTCACCTCCTTCAAGGATTAAGAATTGTATTGGTTGTCTTAAAACATTAAGACCATTATCACCTATCATGATTGTCATCACAACAACAAACAAAACACCTTATTGGAGAAGGAAGGTCGGTGGTCCAGTTTCTCAACTAACGACAACCAAAATGCAACTTTTCACATGTCATAGAGGGTGAAAGTTAAGAATATGATAAAGTGATAATAATCAAGTGCATTTTAAATTTACTTAAAAAAATTAAAATCAATTTATTTATATGACAATGATGAAATGAGATATAAAAAATATTATATAAATTTTATTTATCATGTAAGATTTTTTTAAAATAGAAATTGATAGAAGGAACTAATTTTAAAATATTACAAAACGTTAAAAATAAAATAGCAACAAAAGAAATTTACAGAACTAAAAGTGAGAAAGTACTTAAATTATAAGAACAAAAATTATATTTATGTATTATTATTATTATTATTATTATTAATGCGCGTTATCTTCTCCCAACAGTATTATAGTGGGTCAAACAAACCACTGGAAACGTGGATCACTATTTAATTTAAAGGAAGTTTTTGTGCTCTAGTATTGACATATGTTTATATATTGTTTGAAAATGACCAGTTGATATCATCAAGACTCTGATACTTTTTTAATGAACACAAACCACAAACTTCAATGCCAAATCAAGAACGGGAATGAAATCATGAAAAAACAAATATACATTTTCCCAGTAAAAATTATAGTATTATAGTTGTCAATTTTATTTGATCCCAAGGACAACGAAGACCCAGAGAATGTTATTGTGAGTAGTCGGCAACAACATGAAACAAAGGTTGTGTCATTCCAATCTCTATTGTGAAAACAATGCTAACTTGATCCTTAAGCAACCACGTCATTTTCAACTTATTTAAAGATGAAAGATAGTTGTATGTTGAACCACGTCGTTTTCAATCACTCATGCATTGTTTTTTTTATTCATTTATTTTTGTACACTAACACGCATTATTAATTTATTATTACCTTAAATACTTTAATAATAGAGGGACACAATCTGCTACGCCGCAGTGCACACAGACAAGTTTTTCCTTCGAACGCACGTGTCGTCTTATTGGAGGGGGGCCCACTACATCGTGTCACCCGATTTCTCGGATTCAAAAATCTAATTAGGTGGGATCCTCATGTCATCTCAAATTTAAAATATACTTGGATTTTATGTAAATATTTCTAAACAAAAAATTACGTGTTTGTTAGGGCCACTCGAAAATCCCATGAGTCGAAAATAGCGTATGAGATCCCTCGAAAAACATTATAATGTCAACACTTACCAGTGACAGAGGTTCAAGGTCGAAAAAGAGTTTGGTTCAAGTCGAACAAAAACATACTCGAAAGATAGTGGAGAGGTTATTGGTTTCTTATATGGTTACATCAAGGCGGTTATGGCAAAAGCGGGTCGAAGAAGCAAAAAACTCGCGGGAGAACGGTTATGGGAAGTTATCTTTTAAGCCCGCGTAAGCAAAGTAGTGAATAACAGTTATACTCACCCACGATGATTCCCACGAAATCAATTGCTCGTGATTAAACTCTATAAATATGAGAATTGTACACCTTCACGGAGGTCGGAAAACTCATACTAAGACAAGAATCTGAAGCACTCTCTACCTGCGCATATGGCTTTCGTGCAAGGATTCGTTTTTGGGTATGGTTACTTCTCGGCTACTTTTCTTTTCTCTTTATAGGAGTAGAATTAGAATAGTTTTCTTGTTCTTTTAATCACGTAATGGATTTGTATACTTTGATCAATATGCTTTAATGTGTAATGTAATTTGACCATTGTGCGAAATGAACTATGATTTGCATTGCTAATATACGTTTTGTTCATTCTGTGCATTTAACTATTTACATACACGAACATTATTGCTTGATAATAATTAACGAATATTTAGAGACAAGCAATCATTGAAACTTTCTACTCTGTCTCTCTTCTTTGCATTGTGTTTCACAGAACCATAAAAATGTTAACATACCTAAATTGAAACATTAATTGTGCTAGTTCGAGTAAAAAGAATCCTTAAAACCAATTCCACTGTAAACAAATTGGCACGCCCGGTGGGACTCGTTTAAATCACAAACATAATTGGGCTAGTTTTAGGTATGCATGTTGCATGAGACTTAGGAGTGGAAGAACCATGTCTACATCTAATAATCAGAGAGAAACAAACACGAACAATAATAATCATATAGATGTAGAACAAGCAAACCCTAACCCCGATAATGTGACTAATGTGACCAAGGGGTAGCATCTTCCCCTGTGTTACTCGAAAATACAGCTAGGCAAACAAATGTGACTCAGGAACTAGCAAACATCACTAGGGAATATCCCTGGGGTATGCCACAGAATTGGCGAAATACTTAACCAGTACATGTCGAAATGTCAGTACCTTTCTTAGGACATAATCCACAAATGCACGTATCCCCACAAGGATACAATCTTGGACCAAATGGTCTGGTTTTGTCATGCAAGACCCATATCAACATGTAGGGACAAGCCAGGAAGGGTCTTTGATTCGACAGGGTAGTTACGTACCAACTGGTATTAGTAATCAAGCAATGATGGCTCTTCGACAACAGATGGACCATAGTAATCATGACATGGTCAATTTGTTGTCAACCCAAATGCATAATATTATGACTCCTCTGTATGAATTGATAAACAAAATAGGAGATAAATTAGGTGAGGGACCACCCTCGAGAGCCATGAGTGCAAATCTGAACGAAATGGAAAATCCAGATGGGAATGGGATTTTTCGACAAAACATAGGTCGACCTAATAGGAATCCCAATGACAATATAGATCAAATAGTAGAAAGGATATTAAACAGACATGGATTCGATGTAGGTCGAAATGAACGTCCTTATTTTGTGTCAGCCTTCCCAGATTACGTAACTCAAGTAGAACTGCCTAGAGGAACAAAAGTCCCAAAGTTTTCAAAATTTGCGGGAGAATTAACTGAGTCTACAGTCGAACATATAGCTAGGTATGTAGTCGAATGTGGGGATTTAGCGAATAATGAATATTTAAAGATGAAATATTTTCCAAGTTCGTTGACTAAGCACGCTTTTACATGGTTCACAACCTTGCCCCCTAATTCGATACACACTTGGATTCAGTTAGAAGGTAGTTTTCATGAACATTTCTTCAGAGAAGAAATGAAAGTTAGTATAGTCGATCTAATGAACATTAAGAGACGAAGTCATGAAACTTTAAATGACTATTTAAATAGGTTCAGGCAATTAAAATCTCGATGTTATACTAATATACCTGAACATGAATTACTTAGGATTGCAGCAACATGGTTAGATTTCTCGATACGTAAAAAACTAGTAAATGAACAGTTGAGAGATATGGCTCAGTTAGCAGAAAAGGTAAGAAGGATCGAACAAATCAAGTTAGAAAAGGAAATTAAAAAAGTTTGATAGGTTTGTTCGGAAAGAGAAGGTAATCTATTTAGAAAATACTGAGATGAGTGAGGATAATAATTATGAGATTTCGAGTGAGGATTTTG